AAAGCGGGGGAGCTTCGATACCAGTGTCTGCTAGCAGCACGATAGCCTGAAAACGTGCATCAAAAATATTTTCAGACCATAGGAAAACTATCATCTCCATTCAATTTTTTTTCTTCCTCTTTTCCCCCCTCAGAGTCTGGTTGTTTCAGAACTGCCTTGGAAAAAATTGGCGAAAAGAGCTGCGTTTCAAAATACCATAGGAATTCTTATAGCCGGCTAAAGAAGGCTACAGAAAATCATATAGCTGGCTGTAGAATGCGGAGAAAATCATACGGCCGGGCTCTACGAAGCGATAAAAAATTATGCAGCCGGGCTATAGTTCCTATCGCTGGGCTTTACACTTTATCACCTGGCAGTTGCTTTTTCGCCATCGATTGTCAAAGGCTCTAAGAAATTGTGTAGAAATTCGTGTGCTTTGGAAATCATTAAGTTTGATACGGAGCTACCTTAATATTTACAAAACACACATTATATTTTCCTTTAAAACATATTTTTTTTCATCAATTAAAATTAAAATAATCCATACAGGATGCGCAAACATTTCAAAATCATGAGTTAAATAACGCTGACTCCGCCAGATTAAATATTAGAGCCTAACACAAAGCGGAGCGGCGACGCACTGGCGCCTACAAACCTAACAGGGATACTTCACGCATTGCGCAACGCGTGAAGTGTCCCTGTTAGGTTTGTAGGCGCCAATGCGTGTTTCGCGCTGGCTGCCTGCCTGCCACGGCGCTTGAAGCAACTATTTCACCCCAGAGGTATTGCACAGTATCATACGAAACTGAAGGCGCTCTAATATATTCGTAATGGCAGGCATCCATCAAAAGTACGGAGCTTCCTCGCAAAATAAATCAAGATACTACGGCCCAAAAAGAGAACAGTATTCCAAAAACTCACTAATTTCTAGCATCCGTAATTAGTAACGTTTAGCATACACTTTATCGCCTGACTGTTGCTTAATCGCCATCGGCTATAAGAAATTGTGTAGCCGGCTATAGAAGCTATTGGGAATCTTACAGCCGGCTGTAGGTCTATGGTATTTTGGAACACAGATTCTACTGCCAATTTTTACCAGGGTGAACGAATCAATTGTAAATCGGAAGCGAAACTGATGGAATATCACCTCAATTTGCGACGTTGTGAATTTTCTGTTATATTTACTATTATTCCGCAAAACATTCCGTGAAATTTCTTTCAGTTCTATCGGGGATTCGTTAAAAATCTCACGAGAAAAGATCAAGCAATACATATTCTTCCGATAAAAGTACTTAAAGCGGAAATTTTAAAACGCCGCAAATCGATTAAAGAGTTTTTGTCACAACATCGGTGAGTGTCTTTCGAAGTACTCAAAGCATCAACGTACATATCTTCGTCTCCCAGACGAAGGAACGTAACTGCATTCCAAGGTTGCAAAATTGACTCTGACAATTCAATTTTTTACAATAAAGTAGCTGCGCAACTTTTGTTAAAACATTTCCTGATTTTTGCATGAGGTCAGAAGAAGAACAATCAGAGAAATTTTCGATTAAACATTTCTTAAATTCACCTAAAAATGCCATCTGCGCGGGGAAATTCGGCAACAATGAAACATAGTTACGGTCTTTCGTAAGAAAAGCGACGATATGCTCAGAGGCGTGCTCTGGTGCAGTTTGAGAGGCGGAAGATGATAGTGCAACGTTTTTTCACCCCTCCCAATACCTGCCTGGATTAGCCTCTGCGCAGATAGGGGGAGGGTGGGATGGTGGTAAATCGGCAGACGCGATTAACGGGCTGTTTTTTCTGCTCTTTTATTTGGTTTCTCGGTCTCGATTTCGGCAGCTTTGCTCTGGGTGGGCTGCGCATTGAGATGGAGAGTGAGCGATGAGGTAAAACCCGCAACCCTTAATCCCCATATTGTGGCGTGGACCGTGGACCCGTACAGAATAGTTTTTTAACGCACAAAAACTGTATTTTTTTCAAACGTATGGAAATACTCCGGTGCGGCATTCATCACATATGAGCTCACTGACTCCCCAAATTTTCATATTTTGTCAGTTTGTTCAAGGGATCTACTTACTGCGCCGGGTTCTTGGATTTTTGTGGATATTGACACCTCTGCGCGAGCCCTTTCTCTTTAAAGGACCCCGTAAACATTTTATGGGGATGCGTGCCATGATCGATTTTCAATTTTTTTATTCCATTAAACTAGGTAGTGCATGGATGCTGATCAAAAGTCATCATCACGTCAACTTTCTATCAGGGCCAAATTTACCTACTTGCCGCCCATGGGCCGCTAGTATTTTACCACCCCCTTCTCATTCGTTTTGAAACATCAATGAAAACCATCAAATGAACGGGGAGGGGTGCATGAGACGCGTTTACTGGTGTTGAACACATTTTTTGGGAAAGCCCTGTCAACACTACTAACAAAAGTTCACGGAACTTTGCGCGAAAGTTAAGTTTCGTAAACCTATCTCTGTGTGGACAAGGCCTCCCATTCATAAGAAATGAGCGAAAAAATTATGAAAGAACAAATATAAATGTGGATTAATGATTTTAACTTCCGCCGCCGCGCTTCGCAGACCGCACTGTGTTTGACGCAATGCGTGAAGTATTCGTGCAGTCTTGTAGGCGCTAATATGTGTTACATGCCGATCGCCGCGCCGAGAGCTTCTCCTTTTCATCTCAAGTCCTCGTCATCATTTCTCTCTAGGTAAGTCGTTCCAGGCCAAATTGCGTGTTTGGTTTCTCTCTTAACTCGACTAATTAAAGGTGCTGTCTTTTGTATCACTGAAAGACGACAAAAGTAGAAATTACTATACTCTCAGAAAATTAGAGATTTTGTCGCCTTTTCTCATTTGTAATTTTTTTTCTAAATCCGAATTTTTTTTATACCTACATTTAAAAAAATTGCAAAATTTGCCGCCCCCTATAGATTTGCCGCCATGGGCCGCGGCCTATGTGACCACCCCCTTAATCCGGCCCTGCTTTCCATATGAGCTACCGTTCTTGCACAATTCGCAAAAGTTTCGCTAATTCCTTGAATAAAAGGAGGCATCGCGGATGATTTTAACATATGCTTACTCTTCAAAGGATGTTCTGGTCAATTTCCTTCAAAGAAAATATAATCGGAGTTTTTTTAAACGTCCCAACATATATACGATTTTTTTATTTTAGTCCATTAACTTCTATGATATTTTGAATCCGGCTATAATACAAGAGACTAAAAAATATGCAATAGAGGGTTCAATATTTTCGTTGCACTGCGCTACTTTCGGAGCGACAAACGAAGGAAGGGTAGGCGGGGATTGAAGGGGCGGATAGGTGGAACGAAGACGAGTTTTCCAGTGTAAAATGCTACCATTTGTGTCAGTTAAAGCCTGGCAACGATGACTTTACGCATTCATCTACTTTTCTTTCTCTGCATTTAAGTCTCCAAAATTATGCACATTCGAAAAAGCATTAGTGTTGATGACACTTCCTCTCGCGACCAGAGAACGACAAGAGGCATTTTATTTTGGGGATGCAGGAGTCAGTAGAAATTATACTTATTGCAGCAATGAAATTGTGAAGAGCATAATAAGTTAGAGCAAAATAAAAAGAGCGGGTTTTAAATTGAACAGTTTATTAAAAAGTAGCACCATGCAGAACATTAGTGTTTGATTTAAAAATTCGTCTAAAAAAAGGGTAAGCATGGGTACTTTGAGCCAGGGTGTCTACCGGTTATAAGAAACCAAAATTGGGGACTTTCGGGGACTTTTAGGGGTGTTTTTTAAAAAAAATCGGGGACTTCTTTTCCCGAAATAGTAAGAGAAAGGGAGTAATAAATAAAAGGGAGCTAATACGCATTTAAAGGCGTATTTTACACAACTAGTTTTACAAGTCATGTTGAACCGATGAAAACATACAAAAAACCAAACAACACTTCAATTTTTTTAATCCTGGTTATACCGTGCCACCGCGGCTGGCGGGAAAATTGAAAATGCCGGTGGTTAGGACGATTTTTGTCCCTTTTTTGGGGACCTGAACAAGAAAATTGGGGACTTCCGGAGATATCGGGGGACACCCTACCAAAATCGGGGATAATCGGGGACATCGAGGACTTTTGGGGACCGGTAGACACCCTATGAGTGTACCTCTCTCAGTTTTAGTAAATCATTGAGCTGATCAAGGTAGGCAATACTTTCAATGCTGCAGAGTAGAGTGGACCTCACCTCTTGTAAACACGAACCCACACCATGTACTTTCCGACCATAACAAACCATGAAAATTATCGATTCTGTTTTCAGAGGACTATGTTCCCATGGGAACCTAGATCATATAATTGATTTGGGACTAAATTATTATTCTACAATTTAGGTACATTTAAATACTCTTGACTGATTTGATGCATTATAAAGAACATGTTAAACAGAGTATAATATCAGGGTAATGTGCCAGTTAAACATGGCATGCAATTAGTCAAATGTGCTTACAAGGACGGACTGAGCCTTCATATCACAAAGCTCCTCATATAAGAGGAAATATTTGTTTTAATGCAATGTTACGTACCGAGAAACCAAAAATTAACGTTTGAAGGTTGACAAAAAGCAAAGACTAGCCGACTGATCCTGTCAGAGCCTCGGCAATAATTTGAAAACGCAGCTTTGCAAATTTGATCAAACTTACAAAGTATTGTCAGTGATTACTTTAGTTATTGAGTGGCTAAAGAAGTAAAGAAGGTTATTAGTAAAGAATAAAATAGCGATAATTTTACACTAAAATCATTTGCTTAACATTAAAGAACCCTTTATTCAGTTCCATTGTTGTTCTCATATGTTTTTACTTTAAATATATTTTAAGTACCTGGTAATAATTTTAAAACCCTCTGGTTTTTTTACACTTCGTTTTAGCATTTTTGACCGAGAGGATAGTAGATCCAGGTCAGTGTGCCTACTATTTATCCTCAGTGCATAACATACAGCAACCATTCAGTGCAGACTGCAGGGGAAAGTCTATAGATATATTCAATAAGTAAATAATTAACATGTAAATATGGTTAACTTTAATACAAACAAGATCACAGAAAACACAGTCCAACTGTAGCATTTGAAGCGCCAATCAATGCGCAGATACATAAGGCCGGCATGGAGTTAAGTAATAATTATTTTATGAAAGAACAAGAATCCGTGATAACAATATTATCTGGTAAAGTTTGTTTTCAAAATAACATCTAAAAATTAAAGATAAGAATCTTAGCGCACAGGGGTAAGGTTTAGCAAGGCAACACACCGAATTAAAAGGGTTGGGTGCATAACAATCTTTAAGAGTTATATGGACAAATTTAAATCGAAAGGAACTATATCCATTGCGACATGAACCCAATAGATCTTGGAGTTTTGATTAGAATGGATGTAGTTTCTTTTGATTGAATACTCCTACATATCAACAAGAAAACTACCAAACCAAGTAGGTATCTTGCTTTGTAACAATGTAAATCTCTGTCTCTGTGAAGGTATCTTTTTCTTAAGAAGGTTTGGTCATCATTTTTGCGTACAACTAGTTTGATTTTGATTTGATCTTTCAAGTATAATACTCTCTAAAAATTTTGTGCGATAATATTGAGCGATGTTTTCTTGAAAACATTAAATGTGAGCAGAACTTTTTTCAGACACAAAAATTGAGATCCAAGGTTGGTAGTTTCACCATCAATATAATTATCTTAATATTCCAGGATGGATATATGGTAGTACTTGGGGAGGACAAGTTGGATTTTGACGAGTAAGTACATGGGATGAATTCTTTCATCTCTTAATTTTGGTTTAAACTTCATAATTCCAAAGGAGTTACTTTAAAGTTAATAGCACAGTTTATTCAAGACAATGTGAAAAAATTAAAAATTAAATACCTAAGAAATTAATAAATTCAAAATGTATTCTTGCTTGCTATCTAATAGTTTGGCTTTATCAAATGGTTACATACCATTTAGTCTTACATTTAATAAAATGATTGAGAATGAAAGTAAATGAAGAGTTCATACATTTGAAGTTGTCATACACAAAAATTCAATCCATACAAGTTTCGATGAAACCTTAGAAATTTAGTCAAATAAGAGTTTCATAAATGCAAATACCAAAAACAATTGACAGTATACAAACATTTTCGAAGGTAAAAAAAAGTAATGAATGAATACAAACGGATGAACTATTCGCAATTCTTTACGGTATTTTATCCCTCATATTCGATCTAAATCCAGGTAAAATTCGATTCAATTGTGATTTATGATGCCAAACGATTTCAATCCTTTTTAGTGACATACTCACCAAAATCTACTGTCGAAAACAATGAGCATTGTTCTTGGATTTAAGTATACAAAAAGCATAGGGCAGAGAAATCAGATTTAAGGATAAAAGAAGGTGAACAAATAGTGCTCTTGAATGAATTGCCCGCAAGTAGACATGCCTATTGGATTACACCAAAGTGAAATATGTAGTTAAATTACAGATATGAAACAAACAAATAAAAACAAAAACAACTCTTAAATTAATAAAATCACTGGAATATCAGCACAAAAAACACCAAATGCTTTAAAGCACACAGAAGCTTCAACCTCAACTGAAATTTTTTTGTTTCTGTTGAAATTTTGGATCAATCTTTAGAAGTCGATTCATGTTGCAAATCAAACCAGTCAGTCAAATCTTCACCATTGGGATCCACTTGGTCAAGATCAATTATTACCTGTTGAGATAAAAACAAAATAATTTGAAACTGGCTACAATTCCTGAAGATAAAGTTTCCAAACAGACAGGGAAACCATCAAAAGAATATTTTTGGTAAAAGTGGGTATAAAATGATAACATAGTGGACAGGGCTTGTAAAAGTATCTATTGAAACAGCATGTCAGTTTTACAAAAGAGGCTCCTAAACACCCCTCATATGTGCTATTAAAATGACATATTGGTCAACTAAAAATATTATAGGCAACAGATTATTCTCGATATTTTATACATGAGTATCTGCTTTTGGGGTCATTGCACACTAAGCCCTTGGGATGATGTGCCTCTGAGTCTCTTCAGTCTGTGAGCCCAACAGTTGTAAAAGTGCTTGTAAGCAAATACTGTACATGACGTACATAAATGTTAAAGGAAAATTATCAAAGCCCCCTGAGGTCTCTTAATTCTGCATGTGTATGTAATACCTGGATAAATACAAAGAAAAAAAAGAAAGATTCATATTGAATTACTGTCTGTAAGAACCTGCAGACATTTTTGCAGATGTAACTAACAAAAAATATTGTTTTCGTAAGTGTGCAAGTGTGATAAGATCCATTTCTTTTGAGAACTTTATGGGGTAGACACTAAACACTTGGATTTTTATGATGCATAAGGAAAAATACAAGCTGGGATTTTACAATGTTCCAATGTAAGCGTAGATTTTCCAAAATTCATCATAGATAAAACTAGTGATGAAATAGCGAAAAGATACTGACCTGCCCTATTACAGGACTTCCGGCTGAGTACCAATTATGCTGGTTGACGACAGTAACTTCTAGCTGCTTGGAGCTCAAAACTCCTTGACTTACAGTATACTCAAATGACTCCTCATAAATAGGGTTGCAGTCATCTTTAATTGTCTGAAAGATAGATCCAGAAAAGAAATTAATAACATCATTTGCCTGCATTGTGTTGAATTTTTACGATGCGTCCTGCCCCTTCAACTTTTCCAACAATAACATACTTTTATGACAATCTTAAACAAATATTGATGTGTAATATAAAAAAGTCTATCCCAAGTTAAACCTGCTAGGGAACTTAAATTTATGTTCCAACTGGAAAAACAATTGCCTATCATGATTGGAATTGCTCCAGTTATAATATACATTTTCAAAGCACAACTAAACATCAATATTCTATACAATTTTCCCTCGTTTTTCAGAAATCATCTCGGGAATTTCAATTGACTTTACAGTGATGATTGTTTGTTAACAAATGTAACTTGAAGGGAAAACTAGGAGATTCTGCATAATGACATAAGAAAGAATATGCTAAGATACAATGATGCTAAAAAAGGTGACCTAAAATAGAAAATGAGCACTAAAGGGTGCATAAGCACCATTGAAATGTAACTGTTGAAGTTTGTTTACATCATTCATAATGAAAATAGTATTTAATCAATAACTATTTATACATGTTCCAAGAGAGGGCCTGAAAAATCTCCATTGTTGCCAGGGTAGAAAAATTGAGAGCCATAAAAAATGGCAAGGTGTTTTTTCAACATAGTATAAATCAAAAGTGCACCTTAAACATGCAAAAAAAATAATCATTGAAAATTAGGGGCAAAAAGTTTTAAGAATGGCTCACCTCTGTTTTTCTCTTTGTTTCCTTCGATCTTTCAGGTAAAAGGTACAACTTTACGTAAGGATCTGGTATATTGCTAGGATCTTTTTTGGGAAGATTCCTGAAATCAAAATGGCAAAATTAAATGACACTCTTAAAAAATGTGTGCTGTGTTAATAACTGTGCCAGGAAAATCTTACAAGATTCCAAAAAATTGGGAACAGAAACTATGAACAGCAACTAGAAGATAAAAGATTGAAAATTCAAGCAGGTATCTCATTGAATGCAAAAAAAGATTTCGATTGCTCAAATCGACAGTGAAACTCCCAAACTGCACAAGTATATCAGTTTGCAATGTTGCAGACTTCTTTTCATGCCTTATGTTTTAAATAGAAAACTACTCAATGTCAACTCTTTATAACTTCCTTGATTTTTCCTCTTGCATGAAAAAAATTCTGTAAAAACTTCAAGGAATGATGTTGATTCGTTCTGTTTCAAAAAAATAAAAAGGGGGCAGAGATCTTATAACACTGCAAGTGAGATACGAGGCTTCGGAGTTTCACCATCGATATGTACTTCAAAACCTGATTCATACTAGACAAAGATCAAGGTATGAGTAACAGATCAATAATCAAGTGGTATTATTTAGGGAGCACTATTTATCTACATTGGGAGTTTTGAATCATCTCATGCGGACTCATGCCTATAAATATGTAATGAGGTTTAGCGGATATTTACATTTCTTTTGTTCCAACCAACTAAACAAGATAGATAAAAATTCCTCCATGATATCTCAATCAGGCAAAAGAAATGTTTGAGGAATTAAACAAAAGTTTTGCATTTGCAGTTTACTGCAATAGTCATTCCATCCTCTATTTTCTCACAACAAGAGTCTCATTTTTGAATAGTCAAGTATTTTTTCATTTGAATTCTAGTGGCGTTTGCTCTGGGGCAAAATGCTTAGTGCTTTCCTTATCATTATAGGGAGAAAAAGTACATGAGTGATTTAAAGGGCAATGAAAGCATATTACTCTCACAGTATTCACATTAAAATAATGACCCTACTTTAAAATTTGATATCATCTAGTTGAATGGCAGAATTGAATTTAAAGATTTTGACGAAAAACTGTTTCTGATGTCCAAAAGAAGAAATTCAAAGCTGTTTAGTTCCTTTTTAGCCGGTGGAAGGATTGAAAAAGCCGATCGTAATCCTGGAATTTCATAACCTGAATTGTCCTTTTTTGATACCATGATTTTTAATCTACAAACCTCAAATCACAATGATTTTGTTTGAAATTTCAAAAATGTTCATGAAATGTGTTAATGAGTGCTGCTCAATGCTTTCCAGTTTATGTAGACTCAGATCCCTTTTCCTATGGACGTTCACAAGTACTGACATGCACAATAGCATGGCGTGGCATGAATGATGGATTATCGGTATTTCCCCATTTGAAGCTATGGTAAAGAATCAATTATTTAGGTGTTCGTTGCAAACACCCTGTATATCGATCATTTTCCATAGGGTTAAACGGCAGATCAATTGATAGATCTCAAAACGCGCCACATGACTGGACATGCATGAATTATTATCTGCCTTCAAGTTGATTGATACATAGTTTGCTGTTTAATTTCTCTGATTAAACTCTTTTTGAGCAAAATCCTGCCAGCTATCATTAGCTCATTAGTTCAAAAAATTTGATGTGCTATTTCATTGAAGCTTAACCATTAGTGTTTTTTTTTGCTGACCTGAAAACTAGAAACATAAAAAAAATACATGTGTATGTATCATTTAAACAAGAGGACGAGTAACAAAGATCCATTTTTATAATTCACTTACGCAATTTTGTGGATTACTACAATTAACCGTTGGCGCTGCACACTGTACCGCAATGTTATGTAAATTCGGCCTAATTTTGATGGTCCCATGCTCCTAAAAAAATTTTAAATTTTACATTAAAAATTAGCTTTTGATATCAAGTAAATATTTGACTCAGATCCTCTAATTTGTTGCAAACTATTCCTTTTAGTTGAATGTGGCATCATTAGTAAGGAGGCATTGCATTCACCTGCAAACACTGTACTATGTAGTTCGCTGTACTATTTAGTTTCCAAAAAGAAAGTAATTCTTTCAACTGAACAGAATTTTGATGAAAATATTTAACAATTTTAATGTTTTGATGAACAGAATTCTAAACTGAATGAAATTTGATCAAAACAAAAAGTCAAAATTCTGGAAGTAAATAGGTTTCTAGAAAATTGAGAGATAAATTGAGAGGAGGTAGCTTTATAAAGGGTGACAAAAAGTGAAAATCAGCGATGGAAATTAACTTTGGTGGACGGTTTTGGGTTTTGTGGGAGAGAAACCAACAGAGGCAAAAAAACTGTCTTGGGTGAAGGGAGGAATTTTTGCGAAATTTATGACGACAAAAAAGAGTTTGTCCTTACCCTGTTACACTTGGAGATCGTTGGTGTAACTCATAAGGAGCAGATTTTACGGCATAAGGAGGAGTTCCAATTGTCATATTTTCTGTTACTGGCTTTAGCTCACCATTTGCTGCAAAATGAGATAAGAAGTAATGAGTGAATTTCTGATTAAAGGAACAGACATACCTGATTGATGACCCAAATGGGTTAAATTTAAAAAAAAAAAAAAAAAAAAAAAACCATACTCATTTACCCTTTTTTTAAGTGTGTCTTGTGAACAGTAATGGCTCCTAGTCTAGGAAAAAAGCTCCAACTTCTTAATCCTTCAGCACCGGTCAATCTAATTTATTCTTACAGTGATTTGAAATTTTAGAAGATAAAAAAAAATCGAGAACTACTTTTAAAGTTAATGGGTCTGTTGCATACAAGAGATACACTTTATTTGTTAAATGGAAAACTACTCAATGTCAATTTTTTAAAAACTCCGTGACTTTTCTTCTCCTTGCAAAGAAAACTTTGTGAAAACTTCAGAGAATGATATTGATTTGTTCTCCTTCAAAAAAATAAAGTGACAAGGGAGATTTTTAAAGACCACATACCAGATACATGGTCTAGTCGTTTTACCGTCTATATCTTACTGTTTCTTTGGCAAAAATGTTAGATACACCCTCTTCTAAGCAATGGTCCCAAAAGTTCAATTATGAGATTTTTGGTGCTACAAATAAATAACAAAAGAAAAATTCTCACCAGAATCAATTTTGTCCTCTGTTTCTTCAGGCACGGTAGATTTTACCGTATCACCGCCACCAGCGTTTCCACCACCACCACCAGGTAAAATTACCGACATTGAGCTGCTACTAGAGGTTCTTGAGCCTATGCTCCTATTTCGGGACATCTGACTGGCTGTTCTCGTGATAGCAGGTTGTGGGGCCATTTCAGATGTCTTCAGAATCTGTAATTGTATTTATTAGAGTAAACCACCATCACAAGAAAAGAAACGTTGTGATATTGAATCCAATTTGGTAAGATACTGAGTAGGCAACTTTTAGTGAAATGAGAGCAATGTTTCCAAAAGTCTGTAAAAAATATTTATAATTAAAAAAAGGGTTCAAAGTTTGATCTTTAAGTTGAGCATCAAGGAGGAATGAAACCTTAAACCTTCTTTTATTTGTTCTGCGTAAAATGCACTTGGTTCTTTCTCTTGAAATACTGCGCAGTTTTGCTGAAAACTTTTCGCAAATAACAGGTATGGCACAGAGCAATATTTTTGTCAACTATTCTTAAAAATCTAAAGAAAACCCATAAATTGAAGAAGGACTGTTTACGCAGGAAAAATCAAGAGAAAATGGCTTTCCAAAACTGAACCGTCTGTTCCCCGCAGATAAAACATGAAAAAAACTAAACGAATACTCACTCGTAACTGCATTGATAAAATTATTTTACTGTCACTGCCTGCCTTCTGGAGGGTGAAAGGCTCAGACGAGATCTCTAAATCCTTCTTTTCCAGTAGTTGTTCTAGAGTGAAATCTAACCGACCAATTTCTCCCTCAGTTTTTTGGTCAAAGATCTGGAAAAAAGAGGTCACAGTTCATGGGCTGAATACTTTTACAGCTTAACCACAGTTAAAAATACACATGTAATTATTAGAGATACTAAGGAACTTAAAATTCTGTATAATTTCATATGTTGGCTATCTACATACATTCCAGTCGCTTTACAGCGCGCTCGGGCGCTCTGCGACACCTAATCACCATCCTTGCCTATCGATCCAGAGGTCATCTGGTAGATGGCATCTTGTGATTTCATCTTGAATGCCACCAATCCACGATTTTGCTGGGCGTCCCCTACGTCTTCTCCCAGGAGGAACCCAATCTAGCACCTTCTTAGGCAACCTATCATCCGCCATTCGTTGAACATGACCATACCAGACAAGCTGTTTGGTCATAATTTCATGCACGATGTTCTGCTCGACGTTCATGATCTCACGGACTCTTTCGTTCCTTACATGATCTCTCCTCGAGATTCCAGCTGATCTTCGCCAGAAATCCATCTCAGTTGCCTTAAGAATCTTTTTGGTACGCTCTTTCATGGGCCACACTTCACTGCCGTAGGTCAGAATGCTTTTGATTATGGTGTTATAAATCATTCTCTTTTTTTCTTTGGAGATACTTTGATCCCAAAGAATCCTATTTAACATAGCAATAGCTTTCCTTCCCTGCAGGTTTCGATCTTTTATGGCTTGGTCCATCTTTCCATCCTGGGATACTCGAACTCCTAAATATTTGTAATGCTCGCAGCTTTTAATACACTGTCCATCTTCCAGCTCTATGTCTTGCTGATCCCCTCCAATCGTCAACTTTTCCGTTTTCTTGACACTGACCTCTAGGCCCCACCTTCGATATTCTAGCACTAATTTCCGAGTCATATATTCAGCGTCATCCGCATCCTGCGCGATCACCATGTTGGCTATCTCCAGAAATAAATTTGTGGAAAAGAAAAAACTTACAATATACTTAGTGGGAATAACTTTTCCTAATAGTATACTAACATGTTTAGCTTCGTCTGGGATTATCAATAGTAAAGATATCACATTTCACACCGGTAAAATTTAATTTATTTTTGTCCAATTAGTGCAAACAGTAACAGAAGAAGTTATTTCAAGGGAAACAATGAAGAAGAATGAATTATTTTCCCCCATCAGTTTGCTGCAAAATGAATTTCAGAACAAAACTTTTGTTTGTCACTTATATCAAACTTACCTTAACACGCAAGGAATCCGTTTCAGGGTTGCCAACTAAGAGCGTGAATCCTTGCTCAAAAACTGGGCAGTCTGTTCTGTACTGAACATTCGTTTTCACAACTTTATTTCCAACGTTCAAGGAAACGTATGGATCTGGTTTACTCTGAGTTCGAGCATTCTAAAAAAAAAATAAATACATAAATAAATAAAAAAAAGTTACAATCAATAAAAATATTTTTCTTGGATGAAAAGTTCCAATATATGACTGTTCATGAGGCACAGGGCCTTAGCTCATAGGCTTACGATATCCTATGATACAACTTAAGTTGATTTGCAATGAAAACTGGATTTTGATAGAACACTCTCCAGAATCCTGAAGAATAAGCTACAGGTGGCTTAGTTTATACGTCCAATATTTTAACAAGGCATGATGAACAGAGTTATTACAACACGAATAAAAAAAAATTATTCTTAGAAGAATTCATGATCAATTGATGGGAATTTGGCAAAATGCAGCAGAAAAGAAAATGAGTTGTTCAATTTCCTTTTTCAGGACTACTCGGACGTATTTCTGCCAAATGGAACTATGTGCATTAAGACATGAGTCCTGAGACCTATAAAAATATATGCATAAGGAGGCTCTCATCATAATGTACATAGTTCCGTTTGACAGAATTACGTCCATTTATGTTCTTCTTCTGGATAAAATAAATTTATTCAGTTGTCAATAGGATATCGCTTCCATCAAGAGAAAGCCACTTGTTTTAGATACGGTTGAGCATAAATGGAATGTAAATTTTCAATCCATGAATGTTGCCTGGTTCTTGATGCTCCTATCTGCTTTTAAGAAGTTTTACCAGGTCTTCAGACACTGAAAATATTTGAAAATAACAAAATAATTTACCGGCAGGTTCTTGGCAGAATCAACATAAACAGTCAAAAGAGCACTGCTCATTGATGTGACGCGCAGCAATTGAGTTTCAGCTAAAGCCTAGAGAAGAAAAATTGAACAAAATTAATCAATGTGTGGAAATAATACATCTACAACAAATTAATAATCTGATCAGCCAGAGAAATTTTTGCAAGTCTTGTAAGTCGGAAAGAAAAGTTGACAGCATGACATACATTCCATACTTGAACACTTTCCTAAAATGATTACTATTATTGACAGTTTACTGTATGTGCTTCTATCACAAATCCCTTTAAAGATAATGAGAGAGTGAATTATCTTCTGAATTTTAAGATTTAAGAAGCATGCTCCTTAGTTACTTATCAAAATTTTTAGACTACTTCGATAATTTACGCACCGTTGCTAACAACTTAGTGTCCTTTGTAATTGTCAACCAAGAAAGTCGAAGATGAACCATACCATGAGTAGCCTCTTCCAAGGTGACCCACTGAAATAAAAGAAAACGGATTACTAAGAGGGAAAACACTTAAAGACGTAGTCTGAATTGTAACAACCTGGCAGTATTTTACCACCAGATATGTGAGGTGTACAGAAATTTTGCTCAGAGGATGATGATACTAAGGATCTCTCCCTAAATGTATGCAAATTTTACACTTATAGCAAACACAATACGCGTAAAAAGTTGACCATTTAAAAACATAGACCATAATACAAAATGTAACTGAAAACTTTTATGGGGGTAAAAAATGAAAATAGGACAAAAGCAATCAAGTATAAACGGCATTATAGGTTCAGAAACAGTTAATGCCCAGAACTGAAATGAGTGTAAAAGACTTGAGTCTTTGAAGCTTTCATAAAAGTTTTTTGCAAGTTGAAAGATGATGTCTTCCAAAAAGGAACGACTAGTTTCCAAACGGGAACGTGCACATTTACAGATGGTTACAATTTACAGTTTTAGCGCTATGTAGAAATGGATATGTTCCTTTTCAGAAACAACCCATTCAGGTAAGATCGAAGCTGTATTTTCCTCATAAGACAAAAAAGGGACATGTACAAAATGACGATTTAGTTGCCTGCTTTGTATGACAGAATTCAACACCTTTAAATACATACAAATGAATCTCAAAATTTATCTTTAAGGCGGTACACTTAAATATTACTATTAGTCAATACTTACTGAATCAACGCCACCTTTTTTAACGACATTGTGTATGTCCACTGTAGCTCTGAAAAAAGATAAAATATTTGCATTTGACTCTTGTTTATAAAGTCATTGAGAAATTCATGATGCCTCCTCAGCAAAATAAATGCATTTTTTGGCAAAGAAATTTTAATAGATACTAATTTTGATCACAACTACAAGTTGCACTGCCAAACCTGAGCTTTACAAAAATGATTTTGTACCTGACTGGTACCATGAGACTGGTAAAGTGAATAAATAAAATAATAACAAAATCTATTAATGGAACCAATTTGAAAAAGATTTTAAGGTTCACAGCAAAAAGAAGTGAGTGACTTACTTTCCGAGGCTAGAATCTTTTTTCTTTAGCTTGTCTTCATCGTAAAGTTGGAGTGCTAATTCTTGACCCCGTGATGAGTAAACAACCATCTGTTCCCCATGAAAGAGACAAAATACATGTAAGAGTGTGCAGAGGCAAATTTAGAACAATCATACTAAAATGGTATGTAAACTATGATTTGAAAGTTTCAGAATTTAAATTATTAAATTGAATTTTTTTCGTTTTCAAAATTAATTAATTAAAATGACTGTGAAGATTAAAATCAACAAGAGAAGGCATTTCATCATAATCTGATTTCTGTTCCAGATAGACAATCCATGTAAATTCCAAAAATAGCTAACATATACTGGAAATGGATTTCTGTAGAACGGGCTCTATTAAAAATTTGTATGATCCCTTCTTCACTGAGATGTTTTCCACAGTAAAACTTTAGGTCACTCTCGAAAAAGGGTGTGGTGAGAGTCAAAAGACCACTATTTAACTGTAAAATTAACATACCTACTTATATGTGAGTGAGAGTGAGAGCTTGGGTAAATAGGAACTAGAATAAGTTCAGATAGGGGGATGGATGATGAATCTATATTAAGTTTAAAAAGATCTTACCTCACACCAGTAATCCCATTTGGGATCAAGAGTAGAGTCAATTGTGGGCGTACGGTAAGTTTGGGCCCCTAGGGTAAGGATTACGTAAGGGTCTGACGTATTTTTACCAACCATTTTCATGTCTTTTGCCATCAAATGTTTACCTTCAACAACGTGAATCCTTAGAACACCCTAGAATTAGGGAAAAAAAGAATTAAACTCAAGGTAACATTAACTGAAAAACTGCATTTCAATAGGCATAGAGAGTCCAGCTGCAAAAACAAAACCATACATACTCAATTCCTTATTTTGGGATAGAGACCCTCTCAAATTTGAGACCATTTAATCACAACAGAATAAATTTTGGCTCATTTTAAAGTCAGCAGAATTTGTGGAAGATGAGAGGATACTAAATAAAATTTTACTGAGACGTTTCGATTTTGTGACATTTCATTTCAGCCTTGTTTCCTGTATTCCATTTTATTTTATTGTAATTTTCCTGTAGTGTCATGGGTTGCTCTTAAAATTATTCTCTTTAATTTGATTTTACATTCAGGAAATTAATAAAACTGAATTCAGTAAGCTTGATTACTTACTTCCGGCTGCGGTGTCTTGAGCGTCTGACTAGGTACAGTAGTACTGAGAATAATTGGCAATTTGTTTGGTAAAACCATCATAGCACCAATTTGTTCTACTACGATTCGATGTAACATATCGCTGAAAAAACGAATTTACAAATTAGGTGAATAATAACTAGGTTCTAGAAAAATGAGCCAATTGTTGAAAATAAAATTGAAGAGATTTGTAATTATTTTTTATATTCTGTGCGCTCATTCTGATTTTAATCTATTTTCTTCTTGTCTGATCTTTCCTTTCTTTTGAAAAATATATTAGACATGGGAGAGTCTAATACATATTAGTCCAAATGAAGAACAAAGGCACCACAAAAACAATTATTTTCATACATAACTGAAGACATTAATGGATTATAGAATGAAAGAAGAAACTATACAATTGATAGATAACTTTAAGCAAGTAAGTTCCAGAAAAGATAAGATGTTTTACCTCAGCCCAGGAGCATCCAACATGTCAAGAGCACCAACTAGATTAAAATCAAGAGTAGGGTTGTTCAAAAAAAACATTTGCACACCACCCACAAGTGGTATCGTGGGTATTAGAGGTTTCATTATAACCCGCATCATCCCATGGATCTGAAATTTTCAAAATTTGATGCAAAAGGCCACTCAGTTAAAAAAAGACAGAAAAAGCAAAAAATTTAAAACTGAAACGCTAGGAGCGGAGGGATTGAACATAATCACACAATTTAGTTAAAAAATGGTGTACTAGCAACAAAATTTTTGGAAATTGAGTTTTTGATAGATAACTATTTTTACTTAAACCACAATTGTATGCACCATTGTACCAAGCAATATCTTTGAGATCGCTTCCAAAATTTTCTCCTCCACCCCCATCCCTCCCAAAACAAAAGTTCAAAAAGGTCTTATTTGATGAGGGAAAACAATTTTGTTGCGATATTTACAGAGTTTAGAAATTGGCTTCAAAATATGTCAATCATTGTGCAAATAAATCTGCAAAATATATTTTGCGATTCCTACACACAATTTTTTCTTAAAAAATATTAATTTAACGAAAGAGGAATGATCAAGGATGGAGGTATCAGAATCTTCTCCAGTATTTAAATTAAATAATATAAATGCTAAGGAGAAATATTTCGGTGCTTCAATTGAAAAATGTTCAGATCTGTTCGAGGGATCTGTTTGTTACAGAAAGTTATTAAATTACCTGGAAATCCTTGATGCCACCAGACACACCGCTTACAGTGAAAGATATATCACAATCGCCTGCATAACTGGATGGGCAAAAAACCATCAAATCAAATTAATAATTTTTTTAGGTAGTTCGTTATTTATACATTAGATAACAATTTTCAGTGAAAAAATTCTTAGTTTCTTTCAAAAAGTATGACACTTAAATGTTTCAGATTCAAATAAGTCATCCTGTTCGAATTTGATAAATGGTGGAAATATAATGAAAAAGCGAATTGAAGGCTGAACAGCCCAAAAGTCTGCAATGCTAGGTTGCTCAGGGGGTCTTCAGCTGCATAGAATAACATTAGTAAGCCTTGACAATCAAGCTCGGAAATATTTGATTCCTCTTGCATCAATACACTCTGAAAACTTAGGAGAGAAACCTCTGAGCAGGCGGCTGTAAGAAATTTGCTCTGTCTCGGTCGCACACAGAAAATATGCCCTAGACTGTGACAAATCACCTCAATAAGGGATTTGATATTCAAGCAAACTAACTAATTATTCCCAAAACAGTCATAATACCAAGGAGCATCGTGAATTCCTGGTGAAAAGTATTACATCAAATTATGATCAGGGCCAGATCTAAGGGGTGGCCACATGGGCTGCGGCCCTTGGCAGCAAATTTGGGGGGCGGTAAATTTTGCAACTTTTTTAACTGTATGCGTAAAAAAATCGATTCAGAAAAAAAAATTACAAACGAGAAAAGGCGACAAAATCTCTCATTTCTTGACAGTATTGTAATTTCTAATTTTGTCGTCTTTCGGTGATACAAGAGACAGCACCTTTAATAAGTCGAGTTAAGAGAGAAACCCAACATGCAATTTGGCCTAGAACGGCGCGGCGCAGAGAGCAATGATGGAGAGGACTTGAGATGAGAAGGAGAAGCCCGCGCCTCGGCGCGGCGGCGGTCGGCATTTAACACATATTAGCGCCTACAAGACTGCATGAATACTTCACGCATTGCGTCAGACACAGTGCGGTCAGCAGCGGCCGGCGAGAAATGCATAGCGCCTACAAGACTGTATGAATACTTCACGCATTGCGTCAGACACAAAGCGGTCAGCAACGGCCGGCGAGAAATGCATAGCGCCTACAAGACTGCATGAATACTTCACGCATTGCTCCAAATACAGTGCGGTCAGTGCGGCGCGGCGGCAGAAGTTAAAATTATTAAACCACATTTATGTTTATTCTTTCATAATTTTTTCGTTCAATACTCATAAATGGAAGGGGTTGTCCACACAGAAATAGGTTTACGGAACTTGACTTTGGCGCGAAGTTCCGTGAACTTTTGCTAAGTAGTGTCGTCAGGGCTTTCGCAAATATGTGTCCAACACAAATACGCGTCTTATGCACCTCTCCCCCTCCGGCACGTTCACTTGATAGTTTTTATTGATGTATACAAACGAATAAGAAGGGGGCTGCAAAATACAGGCGGCCCATGGGCGGCAAGTAGGTAAATCTGGCCCTGATTATGATAGTAATAATTTAGCCAGTGGTCTTTTGCTAAAAATAATTAATTCAAAAATAATCTTAGAGAAAATTCATGCTCTCATGAATGAATTTCCATTAAATACTTGGCACTGCCTCCAAGGGAAAAATAAGTTTTTCAAGTGAATTTCAGAAGATAGTACTCACGAAATTTCCATGTCCATGATGATTTCATCCCTTGCAACGTGTTTTTCATAGACTTTGATGCCACCAATGCGTGGAGGCTGAAAGATGAAAAGAGGGGGAAAATTAGAGAATTTTAACTTACTTGACTACATACTACATATCTATTTTATAGTTGCATTGAACACATTAGACAGCTTAAAACTAAAAACCTACTTACTATATAGACAGTGAAAGTTTTATGGAAATAGGATAATTATGAAAAGGTGATGGATTTTTTCATTCATTAATTTTTTGTATTATTTTGGATTAATTATGTATAAGCTCAATGATGCTGCAATAACAGACAATTATATGATCACCTCCTGTTGTCTTACAAGGGCTGAAAGACGGCAGATCTTCTCACTTCACAGACTAGATTATGGTTAATAATTGAGCCATTAGGGTCAGGAACAAGCTCCCATTGCTCTCAAGCTCTTGTATAATGGAGGCAATCTTAATTCCTCCGTAAAATTCCTTCGCTCTGGTACAAAGTCAAACAAGTATTTTAACTTTACAGTAGCCCTCATTGCATAACCGTTAAAATGAAGGAGCGTTCTAATCCACGCAGAGACTACGCGATGTTGAGGGCGGTATCGGAGAAGCTCAACGCCAGTAGACCTTGGGGAGGGGTGGTAATGAGCCCATGCCCCCCCCCCCCAAAAAAAAAAAAAATTACACACAAAATTTGACTAACTACCTCACTAAATTTTACTTTTTTCTTCTTAGGTTTCCATTCAATTATTATTCGGTAATGGAGAGGACACTATTCCCACATTGAAATCTTTTCCAAATCAACCCTAGGCCTAGCTCTGCGCTGGAAACTTTGGCTTTTCCTTGAGAAATTTCGTCCAATCAATTTAACATTTTTGTGAAGTTTAATCCTGCCGGAGAAAATTTTGTTCCCCAACAGCCTTTCCCTCCCCAAAGTGGCATCATTCGATGAATCCAGTCAAAAAGCACGTAACACCGATTCTGATGTTCTGCAAATCTCCACTCATATTTATTTTTTTAATTTCTTATTTTTAAAAGAACGAACAGTTTTATTTGATTTTTCCTGCGAATTTTCTTCACTCATTCAAATCTATTTACAGAAATTTTTTTACAAAATAAATTAATTATTAAAATTTAAAAATATTTACAAAAAAAAAGAACAAGATAAAAAGGAAAAGTTTTCGACTTTAACCGTTGACATCCCTCGCACTGAAAAAAAATGTCAACTCGTTGGTATTTTTCTTTCGTTTTAAAATCATGAAACACTTGACAACTGAGGGTCAGAGGGCAGGGCAGGAATTCTCCTGGCAGCTATAAAATCACGAACAACCGGGGCCAGCCATTTAAGCGAGGACTTGGAGCAAATATTACGTGTAGAAGGTAACATCAAAGTTAATGATCTCATCATCGATCGTCGTTTGATGATCTCAAGTCAGGGTTGCCAGCCAACCAAAGAACAGTGGCGATTGCCACAATGTATTAACATTAGATTTCGTTTATTTAAATAAATGGAAACTAAATTTATAGTTAGAGACTGGGAATTCAAAAACACGGTGAGCACTGTTGACCATTATGCTAAGATTGTGCATGTTGCTCATTTATGTGAAAGAACCTAAATGCCCTCACTCTGCAGACTTTTTATTGGGAAATTCTTTAACAAGATGTAAGTGTTTTCAGTTAACATTGGTTCAGTGGAAAAAATATAAATGAGGTCATTTGTATAATCTAACTCCCATTCGATCTATGTTAAAAAGACTTGTTAATACCTAGCTCAGGAGTTAATTTCTACACTTCCCGTTGTGTGAATCGTTTTCTGTGTAAAATTTTGAGGAGAAAACATGCGACGTTCTCCTCTAATATAGACCTTCTCTGGTGGCCCATTGCGCAAAATTTTTAGCATCGACTTAATTTTGTACTAATTTTGAGCGAGCACGAAATATATAAGAGAGCGCCATTGGAGGAGTATCCAACCAATATTAATATAAGCGAGAGAATAAAATAGGCGAACTCTCTATTGTTTTCGGCAAACCGGCACGAAACGCGTGAGGGAACACGAGAATTTGTTGTAGCCGGGCTTTAAAACAAGAGCCGCACGGTGGATTCGTCGCTCCTGTGACGTAAGAGCGTATCTCGAAATCCACGTGAGCCCTGATGCCCATATAATACCAGGCTTTTCAGGGCTCATGCGGGAATCGAGATACGCCCTTACGTCAGAGGAGCGGCGAATTGTGCTCGAGGAGATGAGCCGTGACCTTAAGGTCACCTGTCGCAGCTGACCGCCACCGGCTGGAACTCGGCATTTAGCTCCTATTGAGACGTTCGACAGCGCTCATAAATCAGCTCCTGCCCCACCGCATCCTTGTGACGTCATTGGTTAGTCTCCGGCTGTTTTTACGTCTTGCCAGCTCCGTTCCAACTTCTGTAGAGTAACATGTTAATTTCACCGGCCAAGTCCAACTCGCCGACTTGTGCAAATAACGGCCGATGGAGTTACTTACTTGGGTATGCGAATCATGAATGAGTCGCTTTAATTAGTTACTTACGTGCAAGTACAAAACGCTTTGAAGGTTAAGTCTAGAGAGGTAAATACCATCGCCTGGATTTTAGGTAGGCACTTGCCCTCCTCGAATCAGAATCCAGCGGACTGATTATTGAAATTGATGGAAAAAACTAAAGAAAAGAAGAATAAGGGGAAAAGGAGCTATCCTATTGGTGGAAGCGGGCTGCTGAAATAGATAAAAGAGGTAAATAGACCTACTAATGGCAACTACTAACCTACCAGGGGATCCTACAATGTTGGTCCATCATCCCCCCCCTTCCCCTTATTCTAGAAGAAACACCTGTTTCAACCAGTGGGATCGCTCCATACTCTCTATGCCTTCTTTGTCTATCGCTTCGCCTGATAAATTCAATAATCAGATGAGCAGATATCTGCATCCCCCCCCCCCCCTCCATAGGAGTGATGTGAGAGATTTTGCTAGGAAAGAGCGTGGCACATCTTTCATCTTAGAAATCGTGAGAGGGTCAATTTTTCTGTAAGAACAGCTCAAAATTGCTCCTGAGACGACTCGAGTTTTCAAAACCTTCCCGCGGAACCTAAAACCTCAGGAGCGGAACTATCATCCTTGTCGAACCGGCTGGAAAGGAGGGGGGGGGGGCGCAACACTACGAGAAATCTGAAAATTGAAGAAAGAAATTTTAAAAAAGGATCGCGATCGCAATTGCAGCATTGCTTCGTGCAATTGCGCTGGCAAAAATTTAGGGAGACGGGAGTTGTGGCATCCCTAATTACCTACGCGACGGGACTCGCGATCTCGCATCAGTGGCGTGGTGTGAATTGCGATGGATCGATTGTTATGCCATTTCAACATATGATAAAGAATCGATTATGAAGGTGTTCGCTGCGAGAACCCTGTTTATCGATCCTTTTCCATAGGTTTAAATGGCATAACAATCAATACATCGTAATTCACACCACGCCGCTGTCTCGCATCCTTCGTCTCCCTGATATCTCGCAGGTTACGAAGTTATTAAATCAATTTTGTGCAAACAGATGGCGTAAACGTGCATTTTGTACCTGGCTTCCAAGCCTTGAAGCACAGGCGATAATTTGACTTGTGACGTAGATAGGATTGCGTTAGCTTGACGAAAGATGACGTCACAATAGGGGTTATAGTCTCTATGGATGAGGATCGTATTCCAGGATGTAAATGACTATAAAGTGAGGAGGGGCTAATTTTGACACAGGCTTCCTTCATCCAATACTTTTCTTGGCGAATACTTCCTTTAATTTTCACACGACGTTGTTTCCCTTATGGAAGAACGTAACTGTACTTCAATGTTGTCAAATTTCCTCTCGTAAACTGCATTTTCACTAGCCGAATCTTCAGCATTTCTGACTGAAATTTCCACCGATTTTTCTTCGGACCACATACAAAAATCATAAAAATGTTGGGACAAAAATTACGTGGGTACATTCTTGTAAAAAATTGGATTATTTTAGTCAATTTTGCAACTCTGGAATGGAGTTACGTTCATTTGTGCTGGAAACGACGACGAGAGCAATTTGTAAAGTAAACAAATTTTATATGTGGGAACCGACGCACAGTGGTACGAGCTAATAGAAGAGGTCGGACATGAAATTTTTGGCGAAAATTTCAATTTTTGATGTTCATTTTGTCATAAATTCTATTTCAAGGGGTGTTTCTGAGAGGAAATTTCACAAAAAAACCAATGGAACCACCTTTAAACTTTTTTGTCTTATATTTTCGAAAATATAAGCTTTCAAAGTTTTCAAATTTTGTCCGACTCCTCCTATTGATTCGGTCCACTGTGCGACGATGCTTGTAAGTGTCGTCCTCGACAGTGAAGACGGTAAAATGACAATGAACAGGGTGATTGATGCTGAGAGTTGCGAAGAAGGTATAAGGATGACTTACGATAGCTCCGAGTCTGATCTTTCCGAATTGGAAGTTTTTGAGTTTGTACTGAACCAAGTTCTCCCGGATGCTCGGTTCTATGGTATCCTTGATTAAGTTGTACATATAATGGTTGATGTTCGGCCACATCTGCTTCAGGATCTGTCCCGGAAAATAAAATTTGAACAAATTGAAATAAACGCGAACTGACGTATTTCTACGCAGAAAGGAACTAAAAAAGAATTAAATCAAGAGGAACCGTGAGCAGGAAAACTCAACGTACATGGTTCCATGATTACTTATTTAGTTATTTTATGACCGGGGTGGTCATCGAGGGATCCAGTTACATAGGATGATCCAGAAGTCTCGTACGACCCTTATAACCCCAAGGGTTATACGAGCTTTTCAGGGTGACCCCCTTGAAATTTTGGGGGGTTCAAGAGGTCGTTTCCTTCGACCTGGAAGCACTCACAGAATGGAGATGTTGCATGTGTGAGGAATTTGCGATTTGATTAATGATTCTTACGTAAAAGTTCGCGAGAAACACGATGATTCCACTGGTTTTCTCTGAAATCAACTCCTTAGCTCAAAAAAAGCTCTCAAGTTGAGGCCAAAATGGAGGGGATATCCCACGCTATCTTAAGAGTCCACCTCTACAACAAGACAAACTCTCCATGCAAAAGATAGGGAGCGAATACATTGACAGGGCAGCCTGGGCAGCCACTTTATTTGGGGACTCTAAAATTGAAAACACGGCAATCCTGCTAATGTATTTGCCTATCTTTTGCATGGAGAGTTTGTCTTGATGTAGAGGTGGACTCTAAGGATAGCGTGGGATATCCCCTCCATTTTGGCCTCAACTTGAGAGCTTTTTTTGAGCTTAGGAGGAAACAAGTGGCACTATCGTGTTTTTCGCGAACTTTTACATGAGAATCAAAAGTCAAATCGCAAATTCCTCACACACGCAACATCTCCATTACAAGTCTCCGTCTCAATTTGTTTAAAAATTGAAAGGGTAATGCTTGGTTCTAGTGATGCGAGCTATTGGGTCACCCTGTTACAGATGCTCGGCCCTTTTTAAAAACGTTTTTACACTTTTTACGATTTCTTAGCCTTATTCCTACTTAAAACCTAACAAGCAGAGGAAGGTTGGTGAGGAGAGTAAATCGTCTCTTCCTTTGACTAAGGCATAATCCTTCTTTGCCTAGCCATTACCGTATCAAGCACGTGTGAGTTTAAAAGTGATAACATTGATAAAAATGTGATAAAAGTCTTTATCATAACGGACAGTCATCAAAACTTAAATTATAGATACAAATTCATTCATAAACTTCTATACTCTTGCGGTCATCATTTTGGATACCCTCTCATCCTACGTGCTCAAACCAATTCTTTCCTCAAGCAGGGGTACATTCAGGGCCGGATTTACCCAATGTAAACGCTCCAGTCGCAAAGTTGATTTTTTCCCCCTTCAAATCTTTTTGACGATGACATTTTCCACTGTTTCTCATGGGCTGATATTTGAGTCCGTAGAGAGCTCTCTTCTCTTCTTTCCCCTCAAAACGCGTGCCAAAATCGCCTCAACTTGCGTTCAAGTAGGGTTTTTTCAAATTTTATCGAAGGAGGTCCTCACGACCCCCCTCTAATGGGCGAGTTAACAACTGAACTCTCCTTCCTCGAGGAGATTTTCGGGGGGTCCGCACCACAGACTGCACTTATGGGTAAAAAAAACCTAAATCTGTCCCTAGGTCCATTAATCCACATTCTCTATCTCATTCGCATCGTAAATGAATATATTTTGAACAATGGAGATGTTGCATGTGTGAGGACTTTGAGATTTGACTGTTGATTCTTCTGTAAAAGTTCGCGAGAAACACGATGTGGCCACTGGTTTTCTCTGAAATCAACTCCCAAGCTCAAAAAAGCTCACAAGTTGAGGCCAGAATGGAGGGGATATCCCACGCTATCCTGAGAGTCCACCTCTACATCAAAACAAACTCTCCATGCAAAGATAGGGGGCAAATACATTGACAGGGCTGCCACTTCATTTGGGGACTCTGAAACTGAAAACACGGCATCACTGCTAATGTATTTGCTCCCTATCTTTGCATGGAGAGTTTATCTTGATGTAGAGGTGGACTCTCAGGATAGCGTGGGATATCTCCTCCATTTTTGCCTCAACTTGAGAGCTTTTTTTGAGCTTGGAAGATGATTTCAGAGAAAACCAGTAGCACCATCGTGTTTCTCGCAACCTTTTACATAAGAATCAACAGTCAAATCGCAAATTCCTCACACATGCAACTTCTCCACTGTATCCAGTTGAGCAGTTGATTTCCTGAGCATGAGTGATTCGTTTTCCTCGTGAAATTTTGAGGAGGTAATATGTTACCTACGCAGTTCTTAAATTCATACATTTTACGGTGGCTGATTCATCTCCCACGATAAAGGCGATTTTAGCAAAACCTTGTATTCGTAAATTAAATTAAATACGATGATCAAGACTAAAAAGTTAAATGAGGGGGGGGGGAGGGCTACTTTTTTTCGCTTTCATTCGAGTATGCCAAATCAAAAAAACTAAACGCAGGACAATGAATAAGTAGGGACACATTTTTCCGTTCCGAAATGACGTCATATTGGTTGCCATTCTTGTACCTAGATCGTAAAGTCAAATAAAATTTCAGGAGGGTTTGCTAGGTACTGATCAAGTTGGCAGCACTTACCACATTGAGCCATTCCGCACGCTCGACGTCCGGGAAAAACACCTGTAACAATAAAAGATGACATTAATGAGGCAAGTTCTGTAAAATAGATTATCCTCTCTGAAAATAAAGATTTAAATTTATGAGGGATTATTGGTACGACCTCTAACCATCTGAAAAAGGACGACAAGGAAGGGTGAAAGTTGAACTTTCGCAAGATAAATTCCGTCATCAAAATTTTCCGCAGAAAACGTTGAAGTATCATAAACTTCTAAAGGTAGCTTATACCTGGGCGAAAATCTAAAAAAACAATATTTTCCACTTAAATCAGAACCTAGATTCAAACCTTTCATTTTTTTCGAGGGTGGGAGGTTTCAAACCTCCCTAATTTTGAGCAACCCCAACTTTAACCTTTCTCAAATTTCAAAAATAAGAGAGCAAAGACACCTCAACGTGCGTTGATGACGGTGTAGAGATACAACTATTCGTGCTTCATGGGTGTTGCATCTGCAAAATTGATGGCGCCAGGCGAGAACTCGCAACGCTCCGTTACATACTGTCAATGAGGCGTCGCGTCGCTCATATTCGGGAGCAAAATTAAAAAAAGAAGGCCCGATTACGTCTTTCCTATCTTCAGCTGTGTCCCTCACTTAGTCTCTGAAGTACAAAGACTATACAAACAAGACTAACGGAACCAACCTAACATGGAAGTAGACCAAGGGAGAGGACGCGTGTTGATGACGGCGCAGAGATACAACTATTCGTACTTGATGGATGCCCGTGTTGCGTTTGTATAATTGAAGGCGCCATGGCGCGAGGCTTGAAATTGCAATGCTACGCTCTATGCTGCCAATAAGGCTTCGCTTTGCTTGGATTCGGGAGAAAAGTTAAGAAACGAGGCCAAATACATCTCTTCAATTTTCAGCTATGTTCGATATTAGATTTTTTTCTATTTTCAATGTGACGTCTGATTCTTTATTTAGGATGTACTTGTAGACCTGTGCCTAAAGCTCGTATACACTAGCCCCACATACATATACAACCTGCGAGGCACGTGTTTCCAGCAAGTTTCGGGTCAGTTCGACATGGCTTGTGCATCTAAGGGTTAATTATTTCCTTATGAAGGCCCCATGATAAGGTGCACATCTTGATCCAGAGTGGTTCAGGGAGAGATGTGGACNCCAGGGGGTCTCGACCCCTCCATGACCGGAACATTTCTTTGAAAAATGGTAATTTGTCGGGATTTTAGGGAAATAATACCTGCGACCCCCACTCCATGAAAAATTGATCATGGGATAACCCCCCCCCCCTTCCATGAAAGACTTCTTTCGACGGCACTGAAAGCCCGAAAAACATAAAGTAAGACACAGAGTAATTTTCCAGGAATTTCATAAAAATTGTCTAATCATGACGCTAGGTAAATGACATTGCGTGGCTTCCGCTTCCCCTCCCAATGATCTTTCCTGAGTGTTTCCTATATTTTCCCTTCGTCTTGTCTTGATTCGAAAGTGGAAAGAAAAAGCAGACCTCAGCAATGAAATCATTCAGGCGGCCAAACTAAAATTTTCACTGTAAAAATTGCAGTAAGAATAATTCAGTAAAAAGCCAAAACTCCCTGGGTTACGGGTTTTTCACTATGTTTTGGAGGGGTTTTCCTAAATTCTTCGAGTTTTCCATGGATTTCCCATCCACATTAAATTCTCTGTACTTCATTCTCCGACGACCCCTACATTATTTCGGACGGAGGCTATTATTTGGCTGGATACAGTGACAAGAGTTCATCTTGTTATTACTAAAAGAGACCCCATAGAGAGAAAAAAGGAGGTGTTTGCATTTCGGGCACCTTGGATGACGTAGGTCGGTATACAACGAGTTTATCATCGATTTTCTTGGAAATTGTGTAATTTATGGAAAAAAGTCATTCTACAAAAAGTGCTTGAAATTATATCATGAGTTGATTTAAGCAAAAAAAATCGGACATTATGGTCCGTTTTCCATACTTCGAATTCCGGATTTCGCTGGCCAGGTTGTACCGACCTACGTCACAGGGTAAACAAACCTCAAGGTTCAAATACCTCCTTTTTTTCTCTAAGAGACCCTAATTTTTTTCCTTTTGATTTTGATTTTTATGAATCTTGGGCTTTGTTTTTTCCTCAAGACGGTGACGGCCCAGCTTAGTGCTAGAATCCTGCCTCAGTGCAAACGGATGGGAATACAGTCTACGATGGACCCGTTGGTATACCTAACGAAATAGCGTCATATGTTCTCTTCCTCCAAGTGCGCTTTTCGATTGCATCACAAAACGCAGGCGTTGCATCCTTGGCGAGACAATGTATCCGGGACCGATGACGTTTGGTCAACTGATTGTTCATTTTCTATATTCTCCGCACTCCTTATTTCAGAGTTTCAAGGCTCTTTCCACTGAGGCGAATCCGTCGAAGAATTTCAGTTGGGTGTTTCGTTATCACGTTGGTACCGTAAAGGTACCTGCCGAGATATTTTTTAAAAAAATTAGGGTACCTACTCCTTCAGAAAATGATTTTTCCCTAGCTTTTCAAATTTCCCTGGTTGTGACCGACCTGACTAGTGGATAAATATCTTGATGAAAAATGATTTAGTTACCGTTGGTTAACTGAGCCTACTTCGGTGACTAATTAGGCAAGTCATTTCTAACACAAGTTTGTGTTGGCGAGACCCAAAGAATCCAAAACTTAAAAACGATGTACTGCTTACAGATCGACGAATGAAGTAAAAAAATACGTGATTCTGATTGCAACGTCGAGTAACTTCGCATGTTTTATTTATTTAAAAAAAAGACCACATTTTTAATGGAAATTATACGTGATTTTTTAAACTCATTTAGATATCTTCAGACGTGATTTTTTTAAACTCATTTAGAATTCATAAAAAAATTCGAGAAAATATTTCAATCGGTTTTTTTTTCCTTTTTTATGAATTTTATTGGAGATTTTAAAAAATGAAAGTACGCAATTTCCGACTTTAGCCATCGATTATGCTCGACTCTATCGATATTAGTTTGGCAGCAAGGTAAACAATTTTGTTGATATTCTTTTTCTCTGAGCCACGCGCACCTGCCTCCCCGATTACGTCATCGAGTAAAAATTCTGAGTTGGCCACCGCCTTTTTTTCTGTCTTTCTTGACGATCCTTGCCGGTCTCCTTTATTAGAGGCGAGACGTTGTGATAAGAGAAATTTTACGACTTTGAAGCGCCGAGACGCCGCACAGTGGAGTATTATACCCGAAAAGCTGGCGAAAAGTCCAAAAAATAAATGTGGTAAAAGTTTGGTAAAACAGGTAAATAATGATTCTCTGATATCTACTGCATGACATTGTGACAACAGAATCCGCTTAATATTACTGGATGGTCGAGGAAAAAAGGGTAAACCCAGCGGTTTCGCGCGCATCTTAGCTCTAGTTCAGTATTGTTTACGTTCAGCTTTTCAATCAAAGTGTGTATGCAGTGACAGGTACAAGCTACATCTGCAGGCTTATTGGCAGCCATTATTCATGGTAAGTAGTCCCTTTTTACACGTATATTACTTTAATTAGAAATTTGATTGTGTGGCATGTATATGCTGTTGCCAAATCGTTCAGTAAAATGCGCATTTTCCATGAAGATGCTTAAATAAGATAGTTTCTGAATATGTGCCGGGCTGTGTCGGGCTGAAAATGAAGGATTTTCGTAAACTAGAACCCAACCGCAAGATTTTCCCGCAAAAATGTTTTACCCATATTCACCCTTTGAATTTCTGCGAATTTTTGAAATTGAGCTTTGTTTTCAAGCAAAAATCACGTACTTCCGAATTTTGGATCCTATATGTTTTTCAGGTCAATAATGTGAGCCTCAG